TTTTCAATTTTTTATATTTTTATTTATAAAAATTTTTTATTTTACAATGTATATTTTTTTAAAATTTTATTTTTTTTTTATTTTATCATTTTTTTTTTTTATAATATTTGCACAATTATAAGGACAGTAATAATATAAAAAAAAAAAAAAAAAAAGAACTCATAAAAAACACTGTAAATTAATATTCTATGTAAAATTATTAAAACCTGGATAATAATATTTAGAATTTATAAAAATTAGGTGAAAATATATAGTTTACAAAATTTTGAATTTGCAAAAAATTCTTGCAATAATAATATTATTTTTTTTTTTTTTCAATTAAAAAACGTTAAATTGTGCTAATTATAATTGATGTTAAGAATAGATATTTAGGAATAATGTATAATTAACACAAATTTAGATGAGATATTTTTAGGAATTTATGTTTAAATAAAGGAATTTTCTTCAAAATGTTTACAAAAACTTGTGTTAAAAATAAAATATTTCTCAGAAATCGCATGTGTATGCACTAAAATATTTATTTTACAATTTAAAAATATACTATATATACAACAAAAAAAAATTTTAATGAAACAAATTAATCCTAATTTTAATGATAAAATAAATAATTATTTACTTCACAAGATAGTCTTTAATATTTTCAAATAGGCTTACCTAAATTTAAATAATAATATTACTTCAATTTTGAATTCATAGTTGTGAATCCATTAAAAATAATTATTTTGCATCTTTTTTGTTGGTTTTACACACAAAAATAATATTTTTTTGTAATATTATTATACATAATACGTATTTTTATATTTTTTCTAAGAAAAAAATGTTTCTCTATATCATGTAAATTATATATTATCATATTTATTTATATAGATTATGCTAAACTGATAGAATAAAAATACGAAAGAATGTAAACATTCATATATCTATGTTTATTTTGAATTTTTATTATGTATATTTATGTGTTCTAATATATATTCTCTTTTGTTTAAATCATTTATGTACTACGTTTCGTTTAATAAATTACATTTTTTTATTACATATATACAAACAAAAAATTCTTAATGAACTCTTGATCACACGGACGTAAATATATCTGCAAACAGAAACCTTTCCTATTTTTTTCATTTCATTTGAGCATTTGCGGCTAAAATTTCTATAAAATTTGATATATTCTTATGCTTAAAGTTTTATTTTATAGATTATATACATGTGTATATATTTTTTTCTGAAGTTATAATTATGCGATGAACGCTAAAAAATTTTTAAACATCATAATTATTTTAGAGAACTATTTATTTTTTTGCCTCATGAGGTATATATTAAATTTAAAAAATGAAAATTCTTATATATTTGTAAAAAAAGACAAGATAAATCATACATAATATATAAATATTATCTATTATATGTAATAACATTGATAAGTAATTAAATAATCAAAAAAAATTATATATAGACGATAAAAATATTAGAAAAAAATATTGATAAAATTAGGTTATATGAAAAGATAAATATTTTCTATATATGAATGATATATAATTCAGTATAATTTCAATAAAATAATATGTAAATAGAATGAATTTCTAAATAAATATATCTATATATTAAATGGGAATAATATTGATAACACCAGTAAATATATTACGTGCCAAATATATAATCATTTCTGAGAGTGATACTTTATTCATGTTTATATATTCTTTACAATTTAAAGAATGAAAATACAATCAAACATTATAATATAAAAAAAGTACTACTAAGAATAAAATATATATTACATTTGAATGAAATTGAACTAAAATAACGTAAAAATTACTTGTATTATGAAATTAATATATAATATATTTGTGCTTGCTATTTTATTAAACTATTACATTATTTGATATACGATATGAAATATAAGCACATGTAATATAAAATTTCATAAGAATAATGCATATTATATAGAAAGAGCACTAACATTACATTTATATTTGTTGAAAGTACATTCTCTCGATATTTTTAAAATATATTTATATAAAGAAATTTATATATTTATGTTTTTAGAATTTGAATATATATATATAGGAGATTTTATTATTAAGACACATTATTATTTAAAAATATATTATATGCTATATGAAATTATTTACATATATTATTTAATATAAAAAAACAATGATCTATATTACAGTGATGAAATGATTTATATGAATCATTCTTATTTTATTTTACAGAAATAAATTATCAAAATTTGTAGGAAAATTATAAATAATACCATACACCTAATGATAAATGTATTTTGTAAAAAATTAATGAGAGAGATTAAGAATAACTCTAATACTTTAAACTTAAATATATATTTAATATGTAGTGTACGAGAATTATCATTTTATTGAATACAGCACTTTTTTATATTTATTAAAAATTAAAGAAACTCTACGATATATACATTTTTTTTTGATACACACATTTATGAATAAAAATTGATTTAGTTTTCATAAATAACCTTAATATTCATTTTAGATTTATTTTTTATTCAATGTTACAAATTTAACTTGTTATGATATAAATTATATACATACAATTTATTAATTATTTATGGGAAATTCGTATCATGGAGAATTTTTCTAAAAAATATTAATAACTCTAAAAAAACGATAACGACGTTTTATAATTTTCAACAAAATGAACTCTATAAAATGAATGTAAATATAGAAAAAAACTCAGTGATCAAAAGTAGTAGACATGTTTATATGTAACAAGGGACTAAAAATAAATAAATATATATATATTTTATGAAAATTATTATATAATAATTTTTTTTTATTACTATATTAACTCATTTTTTATGTTATAAATATGATTTTAGTTCTATATATTTTTTAAAGACTCTATTAACTTATAAGTTATAGATTTAGAATATACAGTTATTCATGCGCAATAATAGAGCATATATTTCATCTTTTAATATATATAATTTTAAATAGAACATTTAATGTATTCTTAAATATTGAAACATTTGTACTTGTAATTTATTAAGAATAGTATATACAAGTATTTATAACGAATATACTCACTGCTCATATTGCCATAAAATACAAATTGCTTAGTGTCAAAATATATTTGTTCATATATGAATTATAAATTATTATACAATGACAAATAAACACATGGAAGAAGCAGTAATTGAATTTGTTTTTCTAGGACCATTTTCTGAATGATTTTAATTACTGAAATATATTTATATGGAAAATTTCATAATATATATTCGTGAAAAAACAAAATATATACTATATTATTTATTCAATTTATAGAGTCCTCAACTAAAAGTGTTATCTTCGTATGTATTTTATCAAAAATTGATAAACCAGAAAAATGAAAATAATATTAGCGATTTGTGTAAAGATGTATTGAACACATACAGTAATGATCAAGGATTGGCTTATAAGCTTGTGGACAACTTATAAAAAATATTGAAATGCTACAAAATGACAATGATGATTTTTTTCGTAAGAAGCACCGTTTGGATGTAAATTATTGGTTTTACTCGGAAGTATATAAAATTCTTTAGGACAATAAAAAGGGAAATGATTTTGACAAAATTTTTAACATGTTAGTAAGAATATGGCAAATCTTTTTAGATCGTAGTTATAGAGTAAATCTGGACAAAGAGATATACTACACATATATGCATTTATTTAAGGAAAACATTTTAATATATTAGATACAAATGAAGAATTTTTTCTATTATATTGAAAATTATAATTTTATAAGAAATGAGATTAATAAGAATGCATATTATGCATGTCAAATGTATTCCAGTTATCTTAAAGACAGATTACCTTTATTTTTCTCCTTTGAACCATTATGTAAAAAACAAGAAAGTAATATTTGTGCAGATCACTTTTACTCATATTATCACTTATTTGATCAAAGAAATATATTTACATGGTATGAATTATTTAAAATATATATTCAATCATTTTGGAATGGGTGTTATAAGAATATTTTATATGTATACTGTGAATCTCAAAGATCAACATCAGAATTCATGACCAAATATAATGAATATGTACAGTCGTTCATTAAGAAAATTCGCGAAACACCAAATAGTGTTCTTCAAAAGAATCATGGCAGCGAACAGGGTACACAAATCAATGTGTCAATGACAAATGCAACAGTACCGACGAGTAAATTTCACAAGGAAATGAATAAAAACCATGGAAATTTATCAGATTTTGTAAACGAACAAGGTTTTCAATAAGTAAAATTGCCATTTATTCCTTTTTTTCTGTGTTGGGTTCAATAATTGCTTACGAAATTTTTAATAGGGTAAAAATAAAAAATATATTTGTAGATGTAAAATGCTATAGTATATATTAATATTTTTATTTAGTTAAGAATGCTTTACTATAAAATGCGAAATATTATGAAATTACTTCATTTTTATATATATATTTTTTAGTTAACCCCTTTTGAACACTCCTTCACAAGTAGACGTAGAAAAAAACGTAACATTATGTATGCTTATTATTCTGAAGGTAATGATTCAATATTTGACAATAATGATAGTATGGATTATAGTTCTTGTTCTGAAGTAGATGAATCTTCTACAATATTAAGTTCTGTGTGATACAGCCCATATTTTTATAATCTGTATTTTCATGGGTAGGTTGATAATACAAATATATAATTGATAATATAATGTTCTTAATGCTACAATTTTTCTCAGAACTGTAATAGTTCATTATATATTTGTGTATGTTTATTATAAAAAAAGGACATACAAATAGTAATGGTCTAAAGTAGTCCATTTATTGAAATATACCGATATATTTACACGATCGATATATAATAAGAAAAATAGTATAGTTTATAAGAATTAAAATCATGTATGATACATGTAATGTAGAACATGGAGTATATGAGTCTGAGTTATATAATCATGAGTATTAATTTATTTTTTTTATTTATTATTTTACATTATGTTACATAGTTTATTAATATGCACATTATTATCATAATGAATGATATTCCTTTGGTTTGTTTTTTTATAAAATGAATTATTAATATATTTTTTTTCTTTTTTTTTATGCTATTAAATAAATATGATAAATTATATATATCTACGATTCTTTTGTTTGTAACTATTAGTACATATGCGTTATGCATGTATATTATGTACATATAATTGAAATATTCTGAAGAATTCATTAAAAAATAGAGATAAAAAGTTATTTTTCCAAAGGGTTTAAGGTTTAATTTTTTGGATGTTATATATATTTTTATGTTTTTATTTTTATGATACCTTTTATATTTTTAGGATTTTTTTTTTTATAGATTAACGTTGGAATTATAATATCCTTTTTATATATTTGGATTACACTTAATAATTTATATATATATTTTTACATTTTTATTATATATATTATGCGTACCGACATGTGTTTTGAAGATTTATTTATTTTTATATATTTTATATTATTTGTCTTAATTATGAGGACAATAATCTTATTATTAATTTATACCATATATAATATAAAATATCTTTTCCTATTTATATATTCTGTTGTATTAGTTTTTTTATTGTTGATAATCTGTGTTTGATGTATGATATGTTAACATTGTCTTATAGACAAATATATTATTTTATATATAGAAATTTAGTTCTATATTATTTTA